AATTTTTTGAAGTGGAAAATTAGTAACATGATCAACTTTTCTGGGCACGCGTCCGTCGTGGGGCAGACAAAAATTGCTTCTCTCCATTACAAGATTTTTTGGAATCTGACCATTTTTCAACCTAATTCTTTTAAAAGATAAACAAAATCTGCAAGTGCCTTGCAATAATTCTATTTTCGTAATTTTTACACGTTTTTGCGTCATGGTGTCTTTTTAAATTTTTAGCTCAGAGAAGTGCATCAACAGATGCAAGTTTTGTACACTTACAGCAAATGAAGCATAGAACCAAAATCTCTGAAACTCGAAATGTAAGTCACACGTAGCATTCATGTATCTATAGTATGCTACAATATCTGTACCCAGTGACTTGCCCTAATTTTTTTGAATCTATCTCCCACATTTTCGTCATTGTACCATAGAAGTGTGATCTTAAATTGGGTAGGGGTTTATACATATAATTTACAATTCAACATTTTATAATTTCAGAAAAAATAATCGATTACCTACTTTCTACTGCTGAAGGCAAAGTGCTTGATGTATCAGTCACTTTTTCAATATGTGCTTAACAACGAAATACTTTCAATAAAAGATGTGTTATTCAGTCTTATGAAAAATTATTCTATTGAATTCTTTTGATCAAAACATGTTTAATTAGCAGAAAAACGACAATGTATGCGTTCTGTTGATGAAGATACAAAGTTTCCAAAGGAGAAAAAATATTATTTTTCGCATGTTATCACTTCGAGTTAATACAGTGTACATAGTTCTAAACAGCTAGCAAGCAAAGGGTAAGACATGTGTTCTGATAATCTTGAAAATTACATTAACATATCAACATCTACATACATTCATTTATTAGGTCGAGACCCTAGAGTCCTCTAATTGTTAATTTTTCAACTAAAAAATTGTAAATGACAAAATTTTAATTGGAAAATTCAAAATTTTGAAGAGGATAATTAGTGTCATAATCAACTTTTCTGGGCACATGTCCGTCTTGGAGACAAAAATTGTTTCTCTCCACTAAAGTAGATTTTTTCTAAATCTGAATTTTTAAAATCTAATATATGTAAGAGATAAACAAAATGTGCAAGAGCCTTGCAAAAATCCTATTTTTGTAATTTCCCCCGTTTTGGCGTCATGGTGTCGTTTTAAATTTCTACATTGAAAAGTGCATCAACGATGCTTTAGTTTTGTACCATTTACAGGAAATGAAGCACACAACCAAAATCTCTGAAACAAGAAATGTAAGTCACACATAGCATTCATGTATTCATCGTATTAAGATTTAATATCTGCATGTACTTAGTGACTTGCCTTAAATTCTTTGAATCTATCTCCCACATTTTCGTTATTGGAGTGGGATGGTAATATAGAATGGTGAACTTGCACATGGGGGGGGGGGGTTAAATATTTAATTTTAAATTCTACATTTTTTCATTACAATGAAAAATAATCGAATACATACTTTCTACTGCTGAAGATACAGTACTTGCATTAAAGAGAAAATTTCTCGATGTTTCAGTCTTTTCTTCAGTGTGAGCTAAAACAAAGAAAAAAAGAGCAGTTAAAATATGCTGCCCAGTAATATATAAATGTTTTGTACTGTTCATTTTTTTAACAGGCTCAAGGTAAGATGATACAAAGATTTTTTTAAAAGTTAATGAAATTCAATATAACAACTTAATATATTGCATTTATGGAAAAGGAATCATTGCAGGAAGGTAGATTTTGAACAAAATAGAAAGTTTAAAGCAATTTCTTAATTTGATATTTGCATCATTACTTCTTTAAAAATGTAGATTAAAATATAACCACCAGTCAAGGCAACCATTTTTTTGCATCATCTGTCCTTAATAAGATGAGGAAAAAAAACAATCAAATACATACTTTCTCCTATTGAAGGCAAAGTGCTTGCAATGGAGAAAAAAATCCTTGATGTTTCAGTCACTTTTTCAGTTTGAGCTAAAACAAAGAATAATTTTCATTAACAGAAATGTTATTTAGTCTATTGAAAATTGTTAAACTTTGTTTTTCAAAACATATTAAATTAGCAGACAGAAAGTTACAAAATATATCCTTTTTGTTGACAAAGTTCCAATAGAGAAAAAAAAACGATGTTTTTGGCATTTTACAGAGAACAGCTGCTTTTACTCTCCTTATAAATTTAGTAAGAATATCAAGTTAAAATAAACTAATAAATTCCTGATGTTGTTTAACAAATATTTTAATTCTCAGAGTGAAAGATATATTTCAAATGTTCAAAGTGCTTTCAAATTTCAAACTAAATCAATTACATAACATATTCTCGGGAACAAAGTGGAGACTACGCCCCCATTGAAAACTATAATGCCTGTATAGTTCCTTCTTTTCAACAATTCAGTTTCAAAGTGAAAAACCGTATGAACTATAAATGAATTGTTAACTGAAAATGCAATTTAATCGAAATTGACATGTTACATACAGGTTGATTCTATAGGACATTTATGGGAAGCCAAGCTGTCGAACTCCAGTTTCTCGGTGCATCTAACTTTAATGCTGGCACCACTGATACACTTCAGATGACAGGACTCATACACTGGAACTGATGACGGAGACACGCCCCTCGGACACGCCCATTTACCTCCAGCACCCGTCACATTGGGTAAGGAACCACATCCTATCAACCAAGAAGTCAGTAGGTTTAATAGAATAAAAAAATCTTAAGTTTTTTCTCCTTTTGTTCCATCGTCTTTATCAAAAATATACATTTTAATATCATTTTTGGTATAGTCCAAAGGTTAAGTGTAATTTACTAGGAGCCAAGTAAAGGTCACAAGCCATAATGCTCGCCGTCATACTGTTCTCAAATTTAAATTTTTGTTTGTTTTTGTTTTCCATATATGAATATCTGTGGTCTTGTATTTTTTATTTCTAAAAAGTATTTTCCTATATATATGTAAGATTCCAAAGTCCGATGGTGACGTTCAAGTCATACTATTTACATCATCCAAGTTTTTTTTAATTTGAAGAAGAACTCAGTAACCTTGAATGATTCAGCGCTGCAGGGCCAAGATTTTCGAGAGAGCACGTTGTTCAAATTCAGAACTAGAGCGTATCAAAATTCTTAGTTTTCCTAATAAAAGAAGCAGAAAGAAACCCAAATCCAAAGTGAACGCATTTCAAAAAATCATTAGGAAAGGGGGAAGGGTGTATCAGAAAGATTTTGAAGACTTTGTAAATTATACCTGGCGGTCTTAAGTTCACTGAATGGTAGTAAGGAAAAAGTCCGGTGTTCTTCTCGATATATGTTAATACATCTTTGTTTTTGTAGTAACATTCCTCAGAAAAAGCAGGAGAATCTAAGAAGCTGGCACTGGCGTTGCCATAACGACAAAGGTATTTGTCACCTGACTCCAAAGTAACATAACTGTAAATAAATAAAACACATTTAATAGCTATAGGCTTTATTATTTTTTTTTAATACTAGAGTATTATCTAAAAAGGAAGCACATATGTGTAACATTTATATCACGCAAACCGCAAGACATGAAAACTGGGACAAAAGTCAAGATGTTTATACCAGGACATTATTTTAAATCTGTTCAAGGCCAAAACTTACTATCGCCCAGTCTCGCCAGCATCTTTGTTCACGTAAATATCTTCTGGAAGAAATGTTCCCTTGAAAAGAAATGTTTACATGACAGTTTCTTTATTAATTGAATATAAATTTGAATATATAAGCTTGTTACCTCATATCATGAGATGTGAATACGTATATAAATACCGCATGTAGCTGAGGGTTACATTGAAAAATTACAACCCAAGAAAATGCCTCAGCCTCGGCTGACGACGGATTTCGAGGGGGATGTTTATTGTTACCTTCAACTAATTCCTGTATTTATTATATTATACTGAATTTATTATTTTTATAATAATCATAGCTATTGGATAAATAAAGGTGAATACTGATGTACTCTTCGTTTTAAAAAGCCACCTACCATCTCGACCTCCCTCCTCGATAGCCCCACTCGAAAAAACACAGAGACAAGCAAGCAGGTATAAACATTAGGTATCATCTTAGCACATTTAATCATTTAAAAATTCCCACGTTGACACTCGAATCCTAAAAATAGATAATAATAAAAAACAAACATTAACACCTCGTATCAATGTGTTATTAACAGTATGTGATTGTAAACAATTAGTTTAAGAAATGAAAATAACTTGATTTTAATGTAACGTTTTATTTTAAGCGATCACAGGTACTTGTGAACAGGACCCCCTATATACACCCCTGGTCAAAACTTTTTTTTTTCTTTTTTTTTTTTTTTTTTTTGGTCATGAATTATGTTTCTAGTACTTATTTACAAAGTAGTCCATATGAAAATCCAAAAATAACATAGATTTAACGATTTACTAAAAATGTCATACCCTGGTATTATAAAATAGAGAAAAGGGTATGACTTTTTTTAATAAATCGTTAAATCTGTTTTTTTTTGGGGGGGGGGGGTTCATATGCAATACATTGTAAATAAGTACTAAAACATAATTCATGACAAAAAAGAAAAAAAATTTTGACCAGGGGTGTATGGGGGGGGGGATTCCTGTCCACAAGTACCTGTGTAAGCGATTGGTAATTTAGATAAAATAACAGCATGTGGCACTGTGAGATACTAAAAGGTTTAAATAATTGTTTTTATCAATAAGAACATAATTTCCTTACCATACAGTCATGTGAACATCGAGTTGGTCATTTACAGGGACTGGGCGTTTTATTTTTTTTATTCCATTTTTAATAAATCTGTTTTTAAAAGATCACCATTAGAACTGCGAAGAAAGCACTGGAAAAAGTGGAATTGTTTCCTCTTCAAATGTATTGTAGTGAACCCAAAGAGATCCAGAAAAACTTGCTGACAATTTAATACGACACAATTAAGAAAGCTCTTCGTCGATATCCTCAGTTAATGTCTCAAGTGAACGTTTGTGTGCACTCAAAAACAAATACCTAATGGTTTTCCTCTTAACAGAAACATTGCAGCTGTGCAGCGAAGAGCCGATTACGGATAATTTTTTCAAACCAGTAACTAATGAATAATAGGGAAGAACTGGGTACGGTATGTTTAACGAGGCGGCCCTGTAAAATTGGCAAAAATTAAACGCACGATAACATTTTTTGAACTTTGTTAATTTATTGTTAAGGTTCCCCTTTGTGAAAAATTGGTATCAACTTTCCTCAACTCACGTGACTTTTTGTGTATATAACGTTTAAACCGGTCTAATATTCCGAAATTCACCTATTTTGAACGTTTTCCTCCTCTTCAAGTTTAAATTTCGATGTGGCCGCATCCGAGTACATATGCGAAACTTCGCAGAAAGAACAAGTATACTTTGGTTTCTAATATGCAAGAGAAAAAATGACTGTACAAAAGTGCGGCCACGTCCGTTTTTAAGAAAAACTGTAGTTGAAAATACTTCATTTTTGGATAGATGTGACATTTCCCCTCATTAAAATCTATACTTTTAAAGAAATTAAAAGTTGAAGTCTGAATCTGAATGTGTTATTATCTAATCTATACTTTTACAGAAATGTATTGTTTAAAACTGTATCTGAATGATATGAAAACAACATAAACTTTTCTTCGTAAAAGAACTATATGCGGTATATTGCATATGTTTGCCCCCACAAAAGTCAAATTTTGAAAACTTCCTGAAATGTGCTGAATTCAATAAATTGTACGAGAAATATAAGTTAACAGAAAATATTATAGTTCCAGAGCAGTGTATTCACAATTTCTGTTTTTATGACGTCACAAACTAGTCCGATTTTATATCCTTTTTCAGAAAGAGGACAAAATGGACAAAATTTCAACAATTTAAGCTTTAAAATTTATAGAGCGCATGTGTGTTCAGGAACAATATTGACATATTTCATTGATATTATCAGTCTACACATTATATCAAAATATTTATCCTGAACACACATGCGCTTCGGTGACTTTTATTTAAAGTATCGACGAAATATGTACATTTTTCTGCAAAATTCATAAAAAACTGAAATTTACGTCATATTTGTGACGTCATTACGTAAAAATGACGTCATAACTTATGAAATTATTCAGTG